GTCGTTGTCCTTGGTGGAGGCCTGTGCTGGAGCAGGTTCCTGGCAGGACCTGTGGCCCTGTGGAGAGAGGAGCCCAGGCTGGAGCAGGTTTGCTGTCAGGACTTGTGACCCTGTGGGGGACCCAGGCTGGAGCAGTCTGTTCCTGAAGGACAGCACCCTGTGGAAGGGACACAAGCTGAGTGTGAGGAGTCCTCGCCCTGAGGAGGAAGCAGCAGCAGAGACAGCCCCCATTCCCCAACCCCTTGCACTGCTGCAGGGCAGGAGGTAGAGAATCCAGGAGTGCAGTTTAGTCCAGGAAGAAGAGAAGCGTGGGGGGAAGGTGTTTTAAGATTTAGTTTTTATTTCTCATTACCCTACTCCAGTTTGATTGGTGATAAATTAAACTAATTTCCCCAAGTTGAGTCTGTTTTGCCTGTGATGGTGACTGGTGAGTGATCTCTCCCTGTCCTTATCTCGATCCATGAGCTCTTCATTATATTTTCTCTCCCCTGTCCAACTGAGGAGGGGAGTGATAAATCAGCTTTGGTGGGCACCTGGCATCCAGCCAGGGTCAACCCATCACACTGGCAAAATGCACAGGTGATAAGCAAAACATTGTTTGTGATGCTGAGATACCTTGAAATAGTGGAGATGTGAAGTGTTAAGGGATGCCATGTATAAAAGCTGACAGTGATAAGGTGTTGAAGGCAAATACTCTGTTTCTTAATGAGTACGTTTGCTTGTAGCTAGGTCTCTTGATGTATCTTCCAGTTCATGTTCAGTTAACAAAAAAAACAAGTGGAGAGATCTGATTATGCCAGTGTTTTTGGACCAGTGATACAGAAGCAGGATATTTAGATACATGCATTGACCAAATTGCCTGTCTAGCTCCTGTGCCAGTCTAATTCAGTTCTTCGATGTACCGTTTCTCTCCCTTGCTTTTGCATTAAGTGAAGCCATTTCAAGTCCATTACAGAAAACTGTTAACGTTCTGGAAAGGCTTGACGTAAAGATAAAACAATTTCTATCTATCTTAGTCTTACCTCTCTGTTCCAGAAGAGGCTTAAAAAAAAAAAAAAAAAGCAACTCTGTGTTGAGCAGAATTTTTATCAGTGAGAACCTATTTGTTCACATGGTGTTTACCTTTGGAGTCAATACTACTTAATCTATCAAAGACTTTTTCTCATGGAGTTCTGCAGGTTTTACTAACTACTTCTGGCTCAAGTTTGGCCAAGGAAAGATGTTTTTGTTTCCCAAGATATCCTTAGCATACAACTTCTGAACTATAGGGTCAGATGTTAGTGTTTTGTTGCAAGCCTGTCTTTTGTAAACCAATTATTCCTTTGCTTATATAAAAGTACTGACCTGCAAGAGAGATGGTTTAGTGGCATCTGAGTTCAGTTTATTTCTCTTAGACTTCTGATGTGACCATGGCTAGTTTGTGTCACTTTCTTCACAAAAGTGTAGAGCTGATTATGAGCAAGGTCTGCAGAGGTGGGGGCCTCTGCTTTTTGCACAGCACTTAGTCTAGCAGTTATAATCATAAAATGTACTGAATTTGTACTGGGATTGAACTGATATGATGGAAAAGGGAAGCAAAATGCTTCTCTGTGATCCAGTAGTGACTTAAGTTTGCTGGGGGACTGTTTCAAAAAGACTGCATGACAAATTTTAAGAATGTTGATACTGTGGTTAGGTTTTACTGTACTGCTGCAGGAACCTTTTTTATGTTGGACTGTAGGTTGAAGCAGGTATTCTTCTATAAAGAGATTAAGTTATAACGGTGCATTTTAATGGAATTGCCTTCTGAAGGCATTGTAAATGTCACAATAGAAACATTATAGAAAATCCTTAGAATACAAAACCTTAGGACTCAAATTGGTTAAGAGGAAGCTGGAAGAGTTAGAGAAGTTTGTAAGTGGCCTGGTGGTAGTCATGCTAAGGGAGGAGTCTTATTAGTTATGAGCTATTCAGTAATGTGTAGGTTGCATGTTAGGTCTGCTCCTGCAAAAAAAAGATACTCTGCAGTTCAAATGGTAGTGGGTGACTGCCACATTCATTTTTAGTTTCTTTGAGTAATGAAATCCTTCGTGATTATTCTCATAAGGATGCATAATTAGGGAGGAAGAATATCATGAAACTGTATGTAAATGAGTAAATCTGGTTTCCTTTCACTCTACTAGGTGTTTAAGAAGGCGTACATACCTAGAACTTTGACTGAAGTTAAAAACTATGAGAGAGATGTGGATATAATGATGAAATTGAAAGAAGAGGATATGGCATTGAATGTTCAGCAAGATAATGTGAGTAGATATGCTGAGGCACTGCAGAAACGAGGGAAGGAATATGAATTCTTCCTACTGGAAACTGATAGCAACAAACAAAAGCGGAAGAGTTGTTACCACAAGGTGTGGAGTACTGAATCTAGTGTCATTCTTTAAAATCATCTGGTTAGTACTAATGTGTGTGGTTTGTTTGTTTGTTTGGATTTTTTTGGGTTGGGGTGGTTTGGGTTTTTTTTTTTAGGTGCTCATTTTCACTGGGCACGAAGATAAAAGGCTCATATTTTCGTAATGTAATTTTCTTTCTCTCTCCCTGGGTGTAGATTCTCTACCAAACTGTGACAGGACTGAAGAAGGATTTGTCTGGTGTTCAGAAGGTGAGAGGGCCTTTTTGAAATGTTTCCTTTTAGCCGTTCTCAGAAAAGCACAGATAAGGAGTACAGAGAATGTCTCGTCCTGCAGCTGACACCATGAAAGAGGCCACTTGTCTGCAGACTGACCATTTATATCCACTTGGGTGCTGCCTATGCCAGGAAGGATCTGTCATCGCAGTGTGTCTGCACACCACATGAATCACTTCCCTGCCCTGTGCCTGATGCTGTGTTTCTTGAAAATGAAATGATAATCCTCACTATGGCCATGATCTCCAAAGTTAAGCTGGAGGGGAGAGAAGACATTTTTCAATTATAGAAAACTTACTTAAAGTGTAGCATGACTGCAAGTATTGATATGTTCATGGTAGCTTTATTGTAATTGTGTAAAGAACAACCCTGCAGTATAAGACATAAGATACTATGTCTAAGTATATTTGAAGTACTTGACAGTGACGTTCCTGTAAAGTACATTGGATAAGAAATTTTTTTACAGATCAATCTGTAGCAGTATAACAAGTTCGTTGGTCAAGGCGGGAACCCTATGTGGATTCCCCTTCTTTCCTTTGTAAATGTTATCTAGCAGTGGTGTAGGCTCTGTTTTAAAATGGAAGTATTTGTATGGATGGGATCAGGCTGTGGCACAGTCTCCAGGCTTAAGTGAGTTTTCCGGTGTAGATGTTTGTGTTTGCAATAAAGACTATATACAGTGCCCCCAAGGTAGATGTTGGTATGATCCAAGCATAATTAAAAATTGGCTTCCATATACGTTAGCAAATCGCTGTTTAACTTGGGGAAATTAGTTTGGGAGTGCCAATACAGCTGTGCTGTGGGCCCTGACCTAAAAGATTCTATGTGGTACATTCTAGATTCCTTGTTTTAGTTCAGATTAACCTACTCTTTATTCTTTTTCTTCAGACTCAGTGGTGGCTGTAGTAAAGGAGATGGCATGAGCTCACTCAAGGGTTTCTTCATAGGAGATTCTGTTTTGTTATATATACATACATATATGTAGTTTTTGTGTACATTGTTAATAGGCTTCTGTGTTTTGGTTTGATATAATTCGCTCTTGATGTATCTTGCAGATTCCTGCACTTCTTGAACAGAAGGTGGACAAGGCAGAAACAGGCTCTGATGATGATGATGATGGTACCTCAGAGGGCTCTGATTCAGGCTGTAAAGAATCTGTACATCCCAAAGATAAACCTGCTGAAGTTAGCATGGACAAAAAGGTCAGATGGCCAGGAATTGTTGGGGGTTTTTTCCCCACCTCTGCCTATGTGTCAGGGAAAAAATCCAAACTTAGTTCTGAGTGGTTCTTGCTTCTTGTCTGAAAAAAGCTATGAACTTTTCCTGCTGTGGAGAGTGAGAGCAGAGGAAGTGAATTTCATTTTGGATGCTTTTTCAGTGGTGGTTTTGTGTAGAGGAACATGTAACAGCTCTCTGTAGCCTAGACAAAGCTAGAAGAGAGATCTCTGCAGGGAATTCTAAGGCCACACAAAGCAGAATTTAGTGAAGCCTGAATAGCTCTTCAGTGCCCCTGGCTACCCTTCCAGGATTTGGTGTGTGGGTTTGTGGTCGTGCTCCCTGATTAACCTGCTTTTGCCCAGGGAACTGAGACCATTTGGTCTATAGAACTGGAGACTTTGTGACGATGTTTGTACCATGGTGGCTTTTGTGGTACCATTACTACAGACTGGATAGCTTTGCTGTAGGCAAGAGACATAAAGCAGTCATGCAAGGGGATTATGGTTTTGGGTGGGTTTTTTTAAGGTTTCATTTTCCAAACTGCAGAACAAGGATGCTTTGTTTTGGTGAGGCTCTTCTGCAGAGTATCACACATGGGTCAGAACCTTTTGGCAGTCTTTTAGGTGATGTGCAAAAGAAGGATGAAACTTGCTGGACTTAAGTGGTTCAAGATCTAGGGGTTTGCTTATTAGGTGTTTCTTCCTAGAAGAGGTAAGATAATACATTCCGTATCTGTCAAATAAAAACGCAGTGCTCTACTGGGCACTTTCTACCAACCTAGAGCTGCTGCCTTTCAGATACGAAGCAGGGAAGTCTTGGTCACTTCTCATCCTTACGGATAGGTTCTCATTTGGACTTCTTTTTGTGTAAGATGAAGCTTTTAGTAACCTGTGTGTTCAGCTGTAGGTTGAGCAACTGATTAGCAGCAATTGCTTCCACCCCTCACTCCATTATGCTGACTTTGCATATTACAGTTGAGCGTAGTCTCTCCACTGTCTGGCATAAATTACAGTGTATTGCGTAGCAGAGCACCCTTTCTTGCCAATCCCGACTGTGATCAGCTTGCTTTAAGTTACCAGCGGTTACTGGATCAGTACTTTTGCGTGACACAGAAACACATAGTATAGTAGCCCTTTGGGTAGCAGAAAACCTAGATAAGGCATCCTGTTGTAATCCTAGATGTAAATGGCACGAGTTAAGAGTGCATCCTGTTCCCTTTCTTCAAAGACTGCATAAAACTTGGGTTTTAATGAGTTTGAATTTTGCCTTGTCATTACCAGTGTGCAGCTCCTAGCTCCAGCCCGAACCTATACTTCCTTTTCCCTTTCCCCTCACCATTCCTATTGGGTTTTTTTCTTTTTTATTTCTTCCTCTTGATAACCTCATTTTTGTGGTGTGTTAACTCGTTAATGTAATAGTTGATTGACTACTCAAAATCTCATTCCTGGGTTTAAATGAATGGTGTTTGGTCCTTTATAGGAAAGGAAAAAGATGGTTAAAGAAGCCCAAAGAGAGAAGAGAAAAACCAAAATCCCAAAGCATGTGAAGAAGCGTAAAGAAAAGACTGCAAAAATGAAGAAAGGCAAATAAAATCAGCTTTGGCTTGGGGAAAGGGATGGTTTGTTGTGGGTTATTTAGTCACCATCTTTTTTCTTTTTTTAAAATTAAAAATCCTTTATTTATATACATATGGTATTAACTGTGAGGGTGGTTTTGTTAATAACGTAGTGTAATTGTTTGAACAGAGTATATGCCATGGGTTTCTCAATAGGAAAGAATGAGTTTAACACTTGTGCATGTAAAAATCCTTTACCTGTGCAGGTTTAACCTGTTGTTAAACTCACATTGATTTGTTCCTGGGGTCTTAACTCCCCGGCCTCACACTGCATATGAGCTCGTTCAGTTTGTTCTAGAGCAGCGATTTGATTCAAACAGATTCTTGGAGGAGGGGGAATGGCGATTCAAAGGCCCATGCTGCCTTCACAGTAGGGAAGCAAATTGAGCTAGCTGTCCTCTGCAGGCTGTCACAGTCACCCGTGGATAACCCTGCAGGCTTTGTGCCTTTGCTGCCTCCCTGTGCTTGTGTCACCTTTGATATTTTCTTACTGAAAGCTGAGTTTTGTGATTTGTGAGGTATCTCTGTCCTCATTGCTCAGAGCCCTTCTGAAGCAATCGGGCAGGCGTACCCAAACAGACACAGCCTGATATTTTTCTGTGTGTGTGTGTGTTTGTTTTTTTTTTTTCTTGGATCCCAACTTAGGGCACTTGTTGCTCTTAAGAGCGTTACAAACACTTTGTAACACTTACAAACAATCTGGTCAAATGAGTATTTGTTGTCAGGTTTAATCCTGTGTGCTCAAATTCAAGGCTATGTGAAGGCTTGTGGCAGGACCTTTCTGTGTAATGGCTGAGCCTTACCAGTCCATGTTGTGCTAAGGTGCCACAGCTCTTCATTAGGGAGAAGCTGGCAGAGCTCTGCTTGTAAGTCACCCCCTCGAGCTGGGGCAAAGGTGCCGTACTACAGACAGACCATCTTCTCTCTCGGCAGCCTCTTTGGTCACTGAGACTGACAAGTCTTGGGAGAGGTGTCCTCCTCGTGCTGTAGCACATCAGTCATCTTTTTTTACTGCCTGCAGTTTCAGAACTCCAGGTGGATTTCATGCCTGGGGATTTACACTTGCAGGACATAAGGACAGAGGACAGTTTTTATCCATCGATGGATATCCAACAGTGATGGGACAGGGTGAAGCCTCCTTCTCTCAGCTCCTTACCTCTCACACCTAAAAGAGACTGTGGGATGGTCATAGGCAGCCATCCTGGCAAAGACTGGAGTGACGTTGGCCAGCTGTACACATGGTTGCTCCACTCGGACACAAGACACAACCTTCTTTTCACTGGGGCTGGGTGCTCTGAAAAGAGCATAGATGCTAGTTCTTGGCAAGGAGCCTGGAAGCTGCAGAACCAGAGTGTGTGTCCCACTGCAGGGGGGTGTTTACTTCCTTTACCTGAGGAGGCACTTCAGAGAAAGGAGGCTGCTATCATCTGTGCTTGAGGGAAGAGGAAACATCCCAGCTCACATAACCTTGTCTTCCCTCCAGGCTGTGCATCACAGCCTGATCAAGTTTGCCTAGCTCTAACCATCCTGTAGCATGAAGGTGGTCTTGAATCAGTCATTTAAGATTGGAGCCTTGCTCACAGTGATGTGTAGCAGGTCCGTCTGTGCAAAGCATGAGCTATCTGCCTTGGGTGTTTTCTCTAGGGCACGATTACATAGTCAGGGTGTTTGCAGAGCACCTGAGGTGGAGCATACCAGAAAACCTTGTGTTGTGCAAGTGCAGGTGGCCTGGGGACAGCGGCGGCAGCTGGGTACGCACTTGTTGAGGTGGGCTGCGAGCGCAGTTCACTGTCCTGGCTGTTGCAGGCTTAAGATATATAGAAGTGAGGCAGTCCACAGCAGTGGGGTGGGCTGGGAGCTCTTTGGGCCCAGACCACGAGATGAGCCATCTTTATGGTGATCCCTGAAGCAAGAGAATGGCCGTTAACAAATGTTAAGAGATGCAACTACCAAAAGGCACCAGTCTCATAGCGGGTGGAGAGGATGGGAATGGGATGTCATGACTTTTTCTTTAGCACAGGATACAAAGCTTCTAAGTTCAAAGTAGCACAGATACTCAGTTATGCTCTGTTGATACCAATGCAACAATGCATGATGAGGTAGGTCTCCCCGCCCCCCCGATTAGGATCTGACAATGCCCGCTCACTTTGTTTGCCATAGCAGCATGTTTATGGTGTGGCCTGCTGCTGGCACCTGTGCAGAGTAGTATTGCCAGGGCAGGAATGCCAGTACCTCTTATAAGAAGAACTGGGACACAAACAACTCAAGGTAATGCTTCCCCTTTATCCTCCATTCTCCCTTCCCCCCCGCCCCCTTGTCAAAATTGCACTTACTGGTAGGGCTCTGGGGTCTCTTGTGGGCTATTGCAAGTGTCTCCATCGTGCAGCTCGCCTGATGGCACTCAGCACAAGCAGACAGAGCCTGGAGAGGTGGGCTGTGGGGTAACTGGTGGGCTGTGGCTCCTGGAGATTGACCCTGAGAGGTTACTGCAGCGGTGAGGTTGAATTGTAGGGGTGAATACCTACCCTTAAGACCAAGAATTCCCTGCTGTTGACTGAAAACCCGTTGCTTCTCGGCTCTGCTGCTCGCTGGGTGTTCCAGTGTCTAAGTGGAGGATCCAGAATATTATTATTGTTTTTTGCCCTTTTGAATAAGAACATCTGTTCTGAGGTCATGGCATAAACTCAGCTGCTTTGTCACTGTGGCTTGAGGAATGTTTCTGCAAGCAAGACTTAATAATCGTTGTCTGACATGTTTTTCAAAGCATGAATGTTTTGTTATCTGTGTTCTCTGAAAATGGATTGGAGTCCAGTTCTGTCCAGCAATCAGTATGAATTTGTACAGCTGCAAAAGCATAGTTAACTGTCAGCTGCTTTAATACTCCTTTCTGGCTAACGTAGAAACACTAAACATCTAAAACACCAGTTGTGAAATCAAAGCCCCTATAGGTAAAATTTCCAACTGGAAAATAGTGTTATATTTTAATTTAAAGAGCATATAGGTTTCAAGCTGAAGACAAAATACATTGTGTTTGACCAAATCTTAAGACTGGTATTTAGTTCTAGTCAGAGCCTGGACCCCCCCAAAGCATGCTTTTGCCCCCTGGCCTGGCGCTGCGTACGGGACGGACAGCCACCACGCAGGGAGGGGTCTGCGATGTCACCCTTGGCGTTCTGAGATCAGTGGCTTTGGGTGTCACCAGGCAGGAGGTGAGAGCGGGATGGGGAGCACCATCATGATGATGATGATGATGATGATGATGCGTAAAGCCTCTGTGCGCCTGCGTGACAAGTGCTGCCTGCAGCTCCGGTCTCTGCATCCAGGAGTTGGCACAGGG